AGGTGTTCACGCCCCATTGTTTCTGTGCCTCGTGCCTTCCCGGAGCGCTGGGCCTAGCTTTTAGAATCACCTTTTTAAAAAGAAAAAGTTGACCTCTGCTTTGCTTTTCCCCCCCAAGAGGTGCTCGAGGGCTGCGGGGGGAACGGGCCACCTTAAACCTCGCCCGGGCAGTGCCCCAGACGGGAAATGCTGCGAGTAGTTCGGGAACTCTCACCCATTTCCTCGCTGTGGCCTGAGGTGCGGTGTTCGCTTAACGCCCTTCGGAGCACAGCACAGGCCTCGCCGCTCGTAGCATCCAGAAGGAGCGCTGATAGACCTGATCTTGGGGATCAGAGCCACCCAAACTAGAGGGGTTTGCTGCACGCCCAGGGCCACAGGGCGGCCGGCCAAAGCAATTTTAGCAAACTCCTCAAATGAATTGGTGCTGTTGGTCTTTCCTGACGTTGGCTCTGACAGAACTTGCTATGGAGACAGCTCCTTATCAAGATTTCTGTACAGTCTAATACATTAGATATTTTCCCGATGTCCTTCCTGATGCCGTGCCAGTGTCTGGCAGAAACCTTTGAAATACCACACAAGATACTACGAAACCCTATCCTGGACTTCTGCAGTACTGTGTTCATTCCCCAGTATTTGACGCTCCCCCAGCTTTTCCTTTCCAAAAGCATCCCTTACTGCCTCCTGTTACCTTTGGGGATTCCTGGAGCAGTATTATCACATCCAAGTAGTAGCTTCCATGGTTCTTTTTTCCTTAAGAGCCTAGCATAAAACTCATAGAAAGGCCACACATGCACACAGGAGGCAGAGAAGGACTGAACAAAGTCTTGCTGCAGACCTGAAGTGCCTGACCCTTCCCATAACCTCCTTTGTCAGTGTAAATCAGAAATCCTGTGTTCAGTATGACAGAAGCGAGCCTTGTGCTTAATTGCCCTTGTCTCTTGGCTTAGGCTGTTGTCCTGTGCACTTATCTGGAGATAGGAGGCATTGATCTCAGGGATCGGTCTGTGATTGAGCTGGGAGCTGGAACAGGATTGCTGGGTATAGTGGCCACGTTATTAGGTAAGGGCTTTTTTTGTTTGCTTGTTTAAAGCAATTTACAACTGTAGTAGAACTAGCATTTTTACATCTATGTACCAGGTATACAAGTTAGCACCAAAGCTACATATATGAACTGTGATGTTTCCTGTCTGAGTCATCTTCCTTTCTTTCTTGTTAGATTTCAGAGCCTGCTGTGTTATTTATTGCAGCGATGGTGCCACTGCAGTTTATTTTATGGTGGGACCCTGTTAAGGCTGACGCCTGTTACCATGGCACTCCGCTCAGCAGCATTCAGCTCTGCAGCTATTCTCCCCCAGGGAGCAAGTGCTGTGATTGTCATCTTCCACTTTTCCTCGCATGCAGCACAGATAAAGCTACAGACAAAAACCACTCTCTGAGCTTGCATAAGCCTCGTTAGCCTATCTCGCAGAGGTCTAGAGGAATTAAGTGGTTTGCCTGTGATCTGTCTGTGGCTGAAGCAGGGACTGGGTACTATGTTAAATTTGTACTAACAGTCCCAGATTAATTTTGAAATTCAAAGCTGTAGTGGCTGTGGAAGGTGCCTGTTGAAATAATTCAAACAAAGCAGTTTTACAAAACACAGTTATACCATGCAAAATCACACAGGCATAACTTTTGTCTGACCTGTGAAAGAGGCTCTCTAGTTGCCTCCCTCCTACTGAGCAAATACAGAATTGGAGCAGGTGGACTGTAACAAGCCCTTAACTTACTCTGTTGTCACCTCTGGAAAGGGGGAAAGCAACTTCTCTACTTCCATGCACTAAGAAGAAGCTCCAGAAAACACTTTTTGTTTCCTACTTGATTTAGTCTTTGTATGGAGTATGGTTTATATTTGTAAGTGACTGATGGATGTAAGTGACTGAGGACAGGATGTGTGTAGATAGTGGGCTTTTTGTTTATTTCATTCTTTTGTTTGCTAGTTTTTAATCAGGTAGCTTGAGGGAATTGTTAATGCTTAACAGGAGCTAAGGAGCCTGCTTGACTTAGAGCATTGTATTTATGGGCATCACACTGGCTATTTGTCTGAGACATATACTCCTGTACTGCTTAGGTGCTCGCGTTACCATCACAGACAGGGCAGCAGCACTGGAGTTCCTGGAGTCAAACGTACAAGCTAACTTACCTTCTGAACTACGTTCGAGAGCTGTGGTGAAGGAACTGACTTGGGGAAAAGACCTGGGTAACTTCCCTCCAGGAGCATTTGACTTCATCCTGGGTGCAGACATCGTTTATCTGGAAGAAACTTTCGCAGAACTGCTCCAGACGCTGGAGCACCTGTGCTCGGAGCAGACTGTGATTCTTCTTTCCTGTCGTATCCGCTATGAACGGGATCACAAATTCCTGAAGATGCTGAGAGGCCGTTTCTCTGTACACGAGGTCCACTATGATTCCATCAAGGATGTTCACATCTACAGAGCAGAGAGAGGTAGTCGCAAAGATGACTTTTGACTCTATGCTTTGTTAGTAAATCACCAATGCTGTTCAATCCTCCCCTTGTTTCTACTCAATACACTTGTTCCTGAGCACATAACTGCAGTTGTGTTGTTTCACTGGCTTCTTGTTCTGATGGTCTGATGCAGCAAGGACTGTACTTCTGCATATTGAACCTCTGCATCATTTCTCAGTAGAGCTCTGTTGGGTCTTCCACTAACTCTTTATCAAATGTAATTTCTGAAACTGATTTAAGTTGAGGAAACCTCCAGGCATCAAAATCTCAGCAAAAGATCAGTGAAAATCACATCACACATAATTTCTGTGTAAAAAATAGATTAGAATGTGATTTTTTCCTCATATCGCTTCCTTAACTCTAGAAAAGTAAAAGTGGATGAAATATAAGCTAAGACTCCAGATCTAAATGCTTTCAATCTTCAAGCCTTCCACATCTTAAAATTTGTGGTAAAAGAAGCCACTAAAAAGGCAAAACCAACAGAGGCAGCTGCTATTAAGTTTTTCTGTTGCTGCCACTGCTGAAGAGGCATGGGGAAACAAAGAACAAGGTCTGTGTGTGGGGTGGGTTGGGAATTTATGAATCAGTGGTGTTTTTACCTGACTTGCAAGCATGGAGGCTGCCTGCAGTACCGCCTTGGGTTGTCCCTAACCAGGTAACTTTCTCTTGCACAGATCAAGGCTCCTTGGAGCAGTTACACATGCATGTGTGTCTGCAGGGAAAGTGAAACAAGGAGACTCAAACTCTTCTTTAAATATCAAATCAGTCCTTGGCTCTCAGAGTACCACTAAATAATGTTCTGCTTTCTGCTTTTGTTTGTGGCTCAAGCCGTCTCCGAGAGCTGCTATTTAGGAGAGGAGGGTGCTGCTCTAAAGGCTTTGTAGCTGGGGGAGTACTTATTCTTGTATTACTTGGGACCTTGGGGCAGTGTCTAGATTTTTGGCATGCTTTCTGTGCACAGTGGTAGTTAGACAATGCTCCAAATAAATGATTTCATACCTTGAGCTTATAAAAACACCTCTGTGTGGTTATCCCGCAAGATCCTGTGTGAAAAATGCTGCAGCCTGGAATCTGTCTCTCACTAGCAGCAGACTTCCTTCTCTTTCTAGCGGTGGAAGAATGAAACTGGTGAAAACAATGGGCTAACAGAAGATGGCTATGCTTATAAGTGCAGGAATTGCTACAGTAGTTTCTTTTTTGTAGATGTGTAACTTTTTTTCTTTAAACTTGCAAAGCCCCAGGTTTTAAGTGTGTGCATGTCTTTGACACTGGCAACAGCAAACAGCAGCAGCTGCTTCAGGCCATGGAGCTCTGTATCGCTTCTGCTTCCATCAGATTTCCTAACTGGAAAAAGATGCAGGTCCAGAAGTGATGTGCAGACTGTAATCTGGAAACGACACATTTAACATTACAGCTTTCATGAATGAGGCTCGAAGGTCTCGTGGTTCATCCCTAGTGTGCCTTTCATATGTTTTCAGCGAAGTTCCTTGGTTAGCTCTGGACTCCGCCTGCGCACTGTTGCTCTTAAAGCCTTGCTTACAACAGTATCCTCAGAAGCCACATGGTGTCACTAAAACAGTACTTACGCAGCTGGCTGGGAATTTGCAGTCTGAAACCAGACTTGAAGTCCCTTTGAGGGAAGGAAGACAGCGCCTTTAATTAAAAACAGAATACGATTTTTAATATGCCAAACGTGACTTTTTCTATCCTGTCAGCTAGGTGAGCAATGGTTGAAAAAAATTATGAGCTCTCCCCACTCTCTTTCTGACTCTTAATTTTTGGACTGTGGCTCTAAGTTCTCACCACTCTTTTTTTTTTCCTCCCCACTGGTGTTACCTTCTCTCTGATCTCATCTGTGGTCACTGGATGTTAGGCTGCTGCTGGCAGAAAGCAGCGTGCCACTGCTCGGGCTTGTGAGTGCACGTCACTTGGTCCTTGGGGAAAGCCTGACATCTGGCTGTGCTCGGCCCCTGTGAGGCTGTAACTTGCAATACTGAGAGCCTTAGTGGCTTGCGTTGTTGCCATAGTAGGAATATGCTTGAAGAGCCTGCTTAAATAGCACAGAATAAAGCCCAGTGTAGTACAGAATAAAGCCTAGAGCAGCAACCTACCTACTTTTAAGAAGGGGAGCTTTGCTCCATGTCTTGCTTTGATGATAGAAGTTTTGTACTTTTAAAATAGATCAGTTTAATTGCATCTCTTCCTAATTGTTTAGCAGCTTTCAGCATCTCTTTTCCCATTGCTGCTGTTGTAGCCTTCCTGCTAGAGCAGGCGTGTGCCAGAAGAGACCAGGCCTGGCTTCTTTTGCCACGTTGCTGTTGCACAGCAGCTGTGTGCAAACCTGAGGGAGTATGTTTGAAGGCTGAAGCAAAGCTACTGCCTGTAAGTAAATACTTTCAGAAAAAAAATGTGAGCCGACGCTCGTGCCTTAGGTGAGTGAGTGCCTTGCTGCTGACCTGCAGAGCTGGGCTCTTGGTGGCCTCTCCCCAGCCCAGCGAGTGGCACCCCCTCAAGGGACAACTTCTCCTCTGACTGCAGCTGGGGCGTGGGCAGGAGGATCAGGAGACCAGATCCAGGAATATTGCAGTTAGGACACCACAAGCACATCAGTTCCGGTTGCTTTTTACGCTGCAGCGTTTAGGGGCAGGCACCAACCGTGAGAATGTAACTCAGCTGAAAAAAATCCTGCTGAGCAGTGCTAACACCTGCCCACACCAAGCAGTGTCTTCTTTTGTCCCAGGTTGGGCTTCACAGCTTTTTTAGATTCCCATCTCACTTGGCTTCAGGGAGGTGTCAGGAATGAACCGTGCCAGATGTGCAGGACAGAAGTAGCAGAGGTGTGATTGTCTGGTGAGCACCCACAGAGCAGCCCTCTGTGATAGCACTTGCAAGCTCTGGTGTCCCAACCGCTTGGTCCCAGGTAAGCTGCTCTAGAATGAGATGACACATGGTAACGCTTCAATGGCTTTCTGGGAATTACATTACCGCCCTGCCTAAGCACTTTTTGTCACCCCGTTCACTCCAGCACTAGAGAAATCAGTGTGGTTCTCCTCTGGGTGTTCCACAGCACTGGTCCTCTTTCCTAACAGATGAACTCATCTGTGGAGAGGATGTGTTTGGGCATGGGTCTCTGAGTAGTGGGGCAATGCATAAGTAGCCTCTTTAAAAATAAAATACTCACCGCAGGGACAGGATCCAAGTCACAGGGAGGTGACGAGGTAAGACATGAACACGCTATGAGATTGTGAAAGCACCCCTGACACATGCCATTCTGCAAGGGAACAGACTTTTCATGCTTGCTTAAGACATGGAGTATGAAATTCAGCTCTTTATCTTATGGATGAAGAACTTCAAGGTGCAGCAACATCAGAAGAATCGGGTTTACCAGCTGACCTACTGACTGCACAGGAAACTGTGCTACCTGATTCTTTTCAGTGTGAAATTCAAGCCAGGCTGCATTTTTATCTCAGGGACTAACCCCTCTTTGGGATTCTCCCTCGTTACTGAGATGTAGATTTTTCTCAGCAAGTACGTGAATGGCATTTTGAAAACGCTCAGTTGTGAAAACCACAAAATCCCAGCCCTAATGAGCTGACCTTCCCACTTCTCCTTGATTTCACAGGAGGTGTGTTTACCTCGGTGCTCAATTTGTTCTTCTGGCTTTCATCCCAGTGTTTGGATCCAGCCTTGCAGATTACATAATCGGGTTGTGATCCTTGCAGTGTTTGCTGCCTTCTGTTCTGCTCTGTTATTAACATCAGCAGCCCATGGTTTACAGGAATGCTTAAAAGTGGGAAAGACAGCATATTTAAACTGTGAAAGGGACAAGCCTTTCGCACATTTGTTAAACAACAGAGCTAATTGCTGCCGTAATGGATACAGGGAAGCAGGTTTAAAATATCCAAAGTGGAAAAGAAACTTTTTTTTCCCAGGACTTAACCTCTCTCTAATCTAATTCCATTTAATTAACATTAAAAAAGCTTTCCCTTTGGGTAAAATATCTCATGAATACTTACGGCAGGCCACAGATCATGAGAGCACACCATAGTCTGCTATGGTGTATTCTTGTCTAGCTATCATTTGCCAGTAAATTAGTGTAAATGGAACATCCTGCTCAAAAAAGAGACTTTGTAGAGGTTTTTAAAGCATGTTTATGTGACTGCACATAAATGTTTGTGTAAAAAGGGAGTTATGACAGTTTATACCACAAAGGTTACAGTAAGAAAAAGCACTTCTTTATGACAATAATTCACAAATTCACAAGAATCACTTTAATATACAAAGCAATTACTACCATTCTGAAACACAAAGCAGCTAATATGTACATAGTGTTAATAAAATGCATTATAACCCAGTACAATTTTTTTTTAAAACACAGATAAAGCACAAAAAAATAAGTAAAAAAAAAAACACACCAGGGATTTTTCTAGATTTTTGGGGAGAAGTAAATAAGAATTTGTTTTCCTCCAACAATGGATTTTCATTAGTCTTTAACTTCCACAAGTATGTGGGAGTTGATCTCAAATACCCTGTTCTGTGCTGACATGGTTTGGGTGAAGAATCAGAAATGCAGATGAGGTGAACTTAGTCTTTCCTGCTTACATTACAAAGGGAGATAATAACCCTCACTCTGGAAGCTTCCCTGAAAAACATTGTTCCAAAACAATTTCAAATTATAAATCCAGAGTAGAAGCAACTGATTCTTGAAGCGAACAACCAATCTGCAGACAAGTCTGTGGAGGGGTTGGCTGCTAACTAGCACCTCTACTTGCCCCGTTCCCCATCCCTAGACGTCCATATAAGCAGCACAGTTTCAAATCCCATACAAACTCAGGAGTTCCAGAACTTTTAAAAATTAATGTTTTAATATAAATAAATGTCATTACACACACAAAAAAATGGAGTGGCACCTAGGTAAAACACAAGTTGTGGAGAGCATCCCAACACCCTTAGTTGCTAGGAGCTGCCATTTCCAAATAACGAACTGGCTCAAGGCCTTCCTTTCCCTTCCCCAT